AACACACATTTGGAACTTTTTTGGTAAGGTCTGGAGAAACACAGACTTCTTGATGAAAGCAGTTAGATAGCTTTTATGATGAACATCTGAAGAAGTTTATACTGGCTTTGTTCTCTCATTTTATAGCACTGTGCATGAGGAGCCACTAACAACCCTAATTTCAATTGAGGGTGGATTTTTAAAAAAAGATTTTCCAGTAGATCCAAGCTTTTTCTTGACTGCTGTCTGGAGAAAGTGTGATCTGAGTATGATACTTCCAAGTTTTAAATAAAAGCTATATTCTGAAAGTACCCTAAAAACTTCTCTTACATTTATCCAACAAGATTGTAACACTAACTTAGGAAGAGGTAGATGCTGCAAGCATCCATGCCTTTCTCTGCTGGGAATTATTTAGAAAAAATGTACAGGATTGCAGTGTGGGAGACGTACAGTATAAGCTGCAGCTCTAAAAACAGTTTGGAGGGAGGAGAAAATATTTTCTGGGCAATTTGCTGGAGAATCTTGCAGAGGACGATGAAAACAGCAACATTTTTATATTGACTTTACTATTATCCAGAATGAAAATGTTGTACTAAGCCCTCTTTTTGCCATGTCCTCTGCTGTTTATCAGAAATGAATGTCTTCCCCATAGGTCTGACAACAGATCCAGGACTAGCTAAGGTTGTGTCCAGAGAGATAATCCGGAGGTTTGATTGTGTTATGAGCAGGCATACCCGGCTTGCTCCAGTCTGATCCGCTCAGGCAGCAACAGCAGCGGAGGGGCCGTGGCTCTCCATTCTGCACAGACAAGGAAAGACGACGAGGATCCTGCACCCTCACCCAGGCTGCTCATCCCTACTCAGCCCTGAGGTGATTGCCCTATCTTTATGGCTGGACAAGAAATGATGCTTAGGCATGCTGCTCAGTGCTGCTGCCATCACACACCTTCTGGCACAGTTCTGTCTGGGGAGCACATCATCAGATGATAATTTTTTTTATTTATTTATTTATCAGTAATTAAAGCCATTCTTATGATTTAAAGAGAATGCTTGATACAGGAAAAAATATAAATACACCAACCAATATGTAAGCGACTCTCAAGTTAGCATGCCAGAGGACGGGCAGGGAAAAGCTCTGAATAAATGGAATAAAATTTCTTCACTGGGACTGGTGTGGGCCTTATCCCACTTAAATGCTACACATTTTTCAATTTTGGTATCTTGCTTTCATTGTCAGTTTAAGCTTAAAAGTTCTTGGACTTATTTAATGTGCTCTATAGGCTATTAATGAATGATTTTACTTGATGTACTCTGTAATCTTTATATTTCTAATCACTCTGTTTTTACAAAGGAAGAAAGCAGAGCTTTTGTGGTGATAGAAAGTATTTACCTCCACAATTGCCTAATCAACAAAAGCCTATTGAAATTCACAATATTCTTTTCAGTGAATTCTATGGGACTTGGGTGTTTCCCTGTACTGAATATTTCAAGACTTTATAAAGTGCTTATTTCTGAAAGGTACATTTTGTTAAACATGTATTTTTCCAAATAAGTAGATTATCACTGTCTGCAGGATTATTTTTTTTGGTACGAACAAATAAATACTGAAGCAATTGCTTAAAAGTAATTTTAACAGCATGAAAAATAACAGTCCCTCAAAATGGAGCTCTTCAAAGCCTTGGTCTTAGCTGTTAATGTCTTTTGCTAAGGTATTAGTCTACCTATTTGAACAAGCAGCACAAACATTTCTATCATCCAGACATAGATGTGTATGTGATGAGTTTACTATATTTCAGAAAGACTGGATTTTATATGTAATTAAAGTCACAGGATATCTGTATGACTTATAATACCATAAGTATTTTTATAAATGCAATTTTTTAACAGATACTATTTTCACACTTTCATTCAAGGCCACCAGAGAATCTAAAAATGAACAGGTGTGTAAAGAAAGAGTCTTAAATGCAAACCCATGAAAATCTGAATTTAGATTACAAAATTGGAATTTGGTATTTAGATTACATTGAAATTTCAGCACCTAAAACACTAAGTACATTAAATTTTGCATGACAATAAGCAAGGTTGCAAGTGAAGACAGAAGTTGGCTTTGGGCAACATTACTTTTATTTTTACAACTCTGCAATGAAAGACTAATAAAGCAACAGGATGATTCAATTTTTTTGGTGAATATTTAGCTCAATATTGCTCTTGATACATATTCAAATTAATCACATTCATCATAATACTGATACCCACTAGTACGCCCTTTCTATCTCCGTGCAGGTTTTGCATCATAAAATATCTAGGTTTATGAAGTGTTTTTTTGTTGGTAGTAGATGATAAATGAGATTTACAACAGTAAGAATATACTTTATGTCTGTCTAGTTCTGTAGGGAAAAAACTCAACCTTGCTTTTACCTTCAGTCCAGCAAAGCTTTAAAATACACTTGAAGTTTGACAATCTATCTGAGCTGTAGAGGTCCACTCAACTGGGATTTGCTTGGAATAAGGCAAAACAATAGAGAAAAGAATAAGAATCCTACTCAGATAGTCACTAAGTTCCTAGCATTCAAGAATAAAGAGCAAGTCTTAAAATGACCTCCTCAACTTGCAGCCCATGGGCCACTTGTATTTGCAAACCAAATAAAAGGTTCACCAAACTGATCTAGAGAGATGCCCAGCTCCGTTGCACAAAGCCTAACAGCATCTTGAGCAGGAGCCACGAGCACCTTCCCTTCCACCTCACAGTCATCTGGCAAGAGAGATGTGACCACGCTCTGCAAACACACTACTTCT